TCAACGGTCAATGTGTAATATTTGACGATTAATTTTATTGATCCTGAAGCAGACTATATTTCAAGTTTACTTTGTGAGACTATCCCATTTCACCTGAATGCTCCGAGAACATGTTCTTGATAAGGCCTCTGACGTCATACGTCTCTACGCCTGTTCGGACTCTCGGGTCACAGTATTGTTATGTGTCGATTCCCAAATTGAAACAAAATTTTGACCCAGAAATCTGAACGTAAAAGAACTTAGTGAGAAACCAACAAACAACCAACAAGTGGAAAACAATCAACAAATGGATTACAAAATTAACTACGTTTATAAATCAGCAAAAAATACAGCAAAGAAATTACAATGGCAGTTGACAATACAGCGGAAGTACAATATTCAATGACCGTATATAATGTGATGGCAGTGGTCCGTGTCAAATACAACAAGAGTTTGCAACTAACGTGGCTATATCCCCCGCCCCTGTTGCAGAATGTATGACATAATTAAATCTAAACAAACCCTAACCTTTTTTAACCGAGGTGGAACTTGTCATGGACATTGTAAAACAAAGAAGAGTTTGGAACCTAAGTCCATCTTGTTGCCATGGACTGGATCATGGTGTATCATGGGGTATCATGGAGGATCATGGTGCATCATGATCTATCATGTACATAATGTAGGAAAGCCCAAAGCGACACATGTTACGTTAACGACACCAACAAGCAGAGAGTAATAGAGATCTGACAATCCAGAAAACATAACTGGGATGAATTTCGGATTCGAGCAACAATCAGCCAGTCCTGATACGACCAAGGGTCGCAACTCTTCACAGAGAGATGCGTCTCTTCAAACACCTTGTAACTCTTCATTCTAACTTCACTTCGAGAAGGTTATATACATTCATTTTGTATGACTAATGGAAAGTAGAACCCTTACCATTCTTGAAAGGAAACCAGATAATGTTATTACAACGCCAATGAACTACCTCATCGAAAACAACATTACAAGAAACGTATTCCCTATAACCATGTATCTGATTATGAACGTCAAAGGGAGAGGACTGTTTAGTTTAATCAAGTAGAAAGCTGTGTGTTGTAATTAGTAACTTCAACCATGACAGGAATAGCTGCTTCAACGGGAAGCAGGCTACATGTATGGATGTGGCGCTTGGTTTCTAAGATTAAGTTTTCTGAGAATACTTGGCGATGAATGAATGAGTGAGTGAGCATGTTTTTAAGCCGCTTTTAGCAATGCTCCAGCAATATCACGGCTGGGGACACCAGAAATGGGCTTCACACACTGTACCCATGTCGGGAATCGAACCCGGGTCTTCGGCGTCACGAGCGAACTCTTTAACCACTAGGCTACCCGACAGCCCCCGGCGGTGAATGAAAAGCCTGGAGTATGCCTCCATTAGCCGTAAGTTGACTGTTCCGCATTCAGTTTACTGTTCTGCGTTAAGTTGATTGTTCTGCATGAGTTTCTCAGCAAACAGAGAATATTACTGTGGGGTGTTTGTGGAATTTCTAGCTTGAGAAAAACTTTGTCACTGAAGCAGTTCTGGTTGAACGAGTATGTCATCTGGTTTTATAGCGTGGTCATTAGTTTCACTATTGCTGTTAATATCAATGTTTAATCTATGGGTAAGTCATGTTATTTACACTAATGACTTTTATTTACAATAATAATACTACATTAAAGGAAAAACTAACTTAAGAGTAGAAAAAACAATCAATTGGAAATTATTATTCATAATTATGTTAATACATATGTTAATCCAGACATAAATTTATATACATGATTCATAAATTTATGTTTGGATTAACATGTCTGACATATGTATTAACATAATTATGAATAATAATTTCCAATTGATTGTTTTTTCTACTCTTAAGTTAGTTTTTCATTTAATGTAGAAATTATCATTGTAAGTTGTGGGGTGTGTGAATAATGATTGATTTAACGAATTATATATACATATGATAATAGTAGCGACAATCATAGTCATAAGAAACCTCATTAACTCATTTTTACTGACAATTTTATAACTAAAAATAAAAATGTTTCTTTTAATTTGGATAGGGTACGCTGGGTTTGACATCGATTTGAACAGGTAATCGTGTTCTTCCGTTTCTACTTACTAATTTAGATTCCCTTAATGGCACCAATAATCGAATGGCGACAATGCTACTAAATGAATATGTCTCATTTCGCATTGCCGTTTATTCCAACGCATTTTAGTGAGTGAGTGAGTATGGTTTTACGCCGCTTTTAGCAATATTCCAGCAATATCACGGCGGGGGACACCAGAAATGGGCTTCACACAGTGTACCCATGTCGGGAATCGAACCCGGGTCTTCGGCGTGACGAGCGAACGCTTTAACCACTAGGCTACCCGACCGCCCCCAGACGGAGAGAGCCATCGGAGCACGTTGCCAGGATCATGGGCTGCTTCTCGTGCACCATCTCCAGACCTGTCACACGTCACAGGCAAACTGGCAGAAGTGCAGACAGACCGAGGAGTGGAAGACCCAAGGCCACGACCCCACAGGAAGACCAGTATTTACGGGTGTTTCACCTAAGGTCCAGATTCCTAACTGTTACGTAATCATCCGCAAACAGCCTTGGACATCTGGTCAGCAGAAAGGACCGTTGCTAGACGACTCCGCATGTACGGTCTCCGTGCCTTTCGACCTTTCAAGGGCATGACGTTAACGTTTCTCCACCGACGTCACAGACTGAGATGGGCCAGGAATGTGCAGCAGTGGCAGCAGAGAAATTGGCGGGTTCGAATCTACCGACGACGTGGTGAACGGACGGCACGTTGTTGCGTCCAAGAAGTGGATTCTAATGGAGGTGGTAGTGTCATGGTCTGGAGGGGGGGGGGGCATTGATGAGATTTTGCGGCCTGTGGTACTGCCTTTCCTGCTACGACACCAACGGACGCTGTTTCAGCAGGACAACACCACCCCTCACACAGCTCGAGTCACTAGCAACTTTCTGAACGCCAACAACGTGACCGTATTACAGTGGCCAGCCAGATCACCGGACCTGTCGCCCATAGAGCACCTCTGGGACCAACTTGGACGCAGGATTCGGAAACGTTAACAGCCGCCATTGACGAGGGATGCCTTGGCAGGAAGAATGGCGTAGGGTCCCTAATCAGGATGTCAGGAGACTCGTGTACTCAGTTCGACGTCGTGTTAGGGCCTGCATCGTTGCTGGAGGGGGTAACATCCGATACTGAGCAATGTGTGTAGCACGGGACTTTAAAAGAGTTCGACGTCGATTCTGCGGGTGTGATCGAATACTGGACAGTGCACCCAGCATGATAAACGTGTCTGCAGAACTTCAAGTACATGTTTTTTTATCTCGTCATTTTCAAATACCGTTTTAAAATAATTGGTTATTTTATGATTTAACATCGACTGCCACTAAATTTTGTGTCTGTTTTGTTTTAGACCAGACAATTGTTTGGTGGCGTTTCTTTGCCTGTTAGTTTATTAAGGAGAAATTTCGCTCCATTAGCAGATATAATGACAATTAACTGGCATCAAACTTGATCCAAGTAGATCGTTTTCTTTATTATAACAAGACATACAAATTAATTTGATAACGATCACTGATGTTGTTCTTTTTGTCACAAATTCATTTTTTTCTGGTAGTGGTTCAATGTGCGATCAAAAAAACTTTTTTCTCCATCATCAGGAGAAATGTCTGTGTCTATGAGTCATTATCAAACAGTGAGGACACCAGGTGCTAGCGAAAAGATGGAGTAGCCGCCACCAGCGGTGGCACCTTTCACAAACACATGCAAGAAAAAGTGGATCGTTCACCGGAACAAAATACGTGAATACAATTATGGAACAAGTCACAACAGGGAATTGCATCTGACATCAGTTTTTGACTGATGCGTCTAATTTGGAAATGTCCCCTTGTGGAATATAGTCATATAAGTCATATAGTGGTTCGGGTGGCAAATCATTTATGGGATAAGTGAGTGAGTTGGGTTTAACGCCGCTTTGAACATGATTTTAGGTGAGGTGAGGTGAAATGGGGTTAAACGTCGCGTCCAGGATTATTGCACTTATATAGCGACGTGCATGCACGTGTATGTGTGTGCGTGTGTGTGGCTGCTTGTACTAGTCCGGACTGATGCGGATTTATAGTGCTAGCACATTGAGATACCATGCCGCAGTTTAACATGAATACCCCACCCAGACACAGTATACTGACTCCGAGCCGACCAGTCCGTGTTTAGCTCCTTAATGCCGAGCGCCAGACAGGGTAACAACAAGTACCATCTTTTAACGTCTTTTGGTATGACGCGGCTGGGGATCGAACCCCGGACCTTCCGCTCTCCGGGCGGACGCTCTACCACTAGACCACGGAGGCGGTCTTGTTTTAAGGAAGGTGTCAGTTTAATGTGGGAGGAAAGCCTGGAGTGACACAAGCTGTAAACGTTTACAACGTGCGTGGAACATGAGCCGGATCTGGTGGTGACAGATAATCAGAACGAATAGTGTATTCAAAATAGCTGAAGTCTTCGTGATGCAATTTTTTACAGAGAGTTGCCTCGCCATAGACACCACGCAAATGACAATTTCCGATAAATATCTTACTGAGACAGTGCAAAGGCAAGTCAGTTGTTCACTTGAAAAAAAAAACTGGAATATATGTTACATGTGAAAAAAGGAATTGCATCTGACATAATTTTTGTCACTGATTTTGAAATGGCCTCAAACTGTCTACAACAAATCATAAGAAAACTCTGCTAAAAACAGAGTTCATTGCACGATTCCGACTACACAATAAGCATGTGTTTATGTATCCCTGTAAAATAGTGACGAGGCCAGGTGTTCGCGTGAAACGCCTTTAACCTTTCACCTAGACCAATACTTGTTCTGATGAAATGTCCTGGCTAATTATATACTACGCGACATTGGCCTTTTCCTTCGTCATATTTTGACGAAATATAACAACACCAGCCGTCTCTCAAGACGCTTCTCTTCCCGCAGACTACCAGGGAGAAACAAGACGAATCGAAGGCCCGGCGCCCCCTTTCACCATTGGTCCAACCCATCCAGCAGCGTGTATACGCTGTGAGTACCAACACTCCTGCACGGCTTACTACAATCAGTGGACGAGGATGGATCTATACGTGTAACAGCTAGAGGATCCGACTGCCCGGGAACGCAGGATTTTGTGATCACTTAATGGATATTTGTAGAGACCTGTTGGAATATGTTGTATGGGCGTTGGTGAAGACGGATTTTCGTAGAGCTGCTTGATTCTTAACCATGGAACTAGTGTGCACGGGACTAGGTGATGGAACGTTTCTGTAATTACGGTGAGGACTTGTTGTGTGCTCTAGTAGGATTCATACAATGGACTCTGCTTTTAGCTGACATTTTTTATGGATATGGAAAACGTTTTGTCGCTTTTATTTGGGGTGAAAATAGCATAGAAGTAGTTGTTCAAGTAGTTGTTCGGATGTTGTGACCAATTCAGTTCTTATAACATGTTCATATGAACAAAAGTCATGTTTGTTTACAAATGGTGCCGTAATAGTCACATTTGACCTGGAAAAAACACACTTCTTTTCTATAACTGACAACAAAATGGTGTGTTCTGACTTCAGTCATCATTACATTAATGTCATTTATACATTGGGGAAACAATATTTGTCCAAAATAGGTTTAATATAGACAAAAAGTATTTATCATTAAAAGATGTTTTACTATATAATAACTTATACAACTATATATACAATATATAACCATCAAAACTGTACTGAAGTTATCACTGTAGGCGAATGCATTGATTTTGATGTGAGAATGAAATTACACGTTCTGTCTTAGTAGTGATGCTCCAAACCTTTGAAGCAGGTGCTTGCGAATGTACAATGTATAAATTACCATTAAAACTGCATGGAAGTACATGTGCACTCAAAATTTTCGCGTATGCATTGATTTGATATGAGAAGGAAACCACAGTTCTGTCTAACTACAGTGGAGTCAATATTTGTCTGAGGACAATATTTGCATAGATGATTAAATCAACTTTATAAATACATTCTTAGAAAAGGCTTAAACTGAATATATAACGTCAGGGCCAGCGAATAATCAGCCGATTATTTGCCGAAGCAGATTCTTTTGAGCGTAAAAGGCAAAATAGTGGGGAAAAGTATATGAACGGATCATAAAAAATCTGTTGTTCGCGAAAGTGGTAAGCATGTCCTGTCTAAGACCACAAGTGTGTTGGTAGAATAGGTCTTCAGCAGCCCATGCTTGCCGTAAAAGGCGACTATGCTTGTCGTAAGAGGCAACGAACGGGATCGGGTGGCCAGACTCGATGACTTGGTTGAAGCATGTCATCGATCCCAATTGCGTGGATCGATGCTCATGATATCAATCTCTGGATTGTCTAGCCCAGACTCGATATTTACAGACCGCGCCTCAAAGCTTGAATATTACTGATTGCGGCGTTACAAGTGTTTCGAGTTTTTTGGCTACAAACTCCCAAGTGGAACTTAATGGATCGGGTTGTCAGGCTCGGTGACTTGGTTGATTGCGCGTCATTGGAAGTCGAGAAAAGGTTGCTAGCAATATCAGTCACTGGATTGTCTGGTTCAAACTCGATTATTTACAGGCCGGCCTCTCATGTGTGGAAAATTGCTGAGTATGGCGTTAAACAACAGAGAACCACTGACGTGTATTTTGGTTATTGTTATCAGTAATGTCTATATCATACATTTATAAAACACTTAAGTTGTGCTTGTTTCGAATCCGAAATTCTCACGTATTTTGGTCCTTGCTTTATCAGAATCATACCCCTGCTCGTGGGTTTCCGGAAATCGGCCAACGTTAACGACCTGCATCATTTAGCAATATTCCAGCAATATCACGGCGGGGGACACCAGAAATGGGCTTCACACATTGTACCCATCTCGGGAATCGAACCCGGGTCTTCGGCGTGACGAGCGAACGCTGTAACCACTAGGCTAACCGACTTTTTCTTTTCTTTTGTTCTTTTTTTTTGCAATGTAAAAATATTATTTGTTTTCCGTCATTTATTTCATATATTGTATGGTTGTATATGATCTGAAAAAATATAGACGCAGACGTAATGATCCTAACAAGAAGGTTTTGTACATTGCGTAATAGTTGTAAAAACCGCTCGATAGAAAAAAGAGAAAGGACTTTGCAATAACAAAGTAGTAATCCTGTCCAATAAAGCGATCTTAGCGCTAAGACGATCGTAAGTCCCATACGTTTACATTGACTGACCCATTATCAGGGGCGGCGGGGTAGCCCAGTGGTTAAAGCGTTCGCTCGTCGCACCGAAGGCCCGGGATTGATTTCCTAAATTGGTACAGTGTGTAAAAGCCCAGTTCTGGTGTTCCCCGCCGTGATATGGCTGGAATGTTGCTAAAGGCTGCGTAAAACCATACCCACTCACTAACTCACTTACGACAATCGTAGCGATGAAATCTCTCTGTGGAACGTGGCTCTGACAAAAGCTAAATTTAAACTGTATTACCTTCCACTGATTTACCCACCTAAACTACAATTAAAGACGACCAGTGAGACCACCTCCTTTTTCTATGGGGGCACGGGTGGCCCAGTCGTCTAAGGCGCCGCGATTCGCTGTGCAGAGTTGCTTCCCTTAGGCACGCAAGAAACCTATGATATATGGGTTCGAATCTTGGTTCGCCCCAATTATGTTTCTAGGTTTGTCAGCACCATACCCGTGCTCGTGGGTTTCACCGAAGTGGTAAATGTCTGAGACCTGCATCACTTCGGGCTTTCCTCCCACATTAAGCTGACACGCCGCGATATGACTGGAATACTGTTAAAAGCGGCGATATCCCAGACTTGATTATTTACAGACCGCCGTCATATAACTGGAATATTGCTGAGTGCGGCGTTAAACAACAAATAAACACACAAATAAACAAAAAAGCTGCTGCATCATAACCTGCCAACCAATATTTACATTCGCATTTACACATCCACATCGAGAGAGAGAGAGAGAGAGAGAGAGAGAGAGAGAGAGAGAGAGAGAGAGTTCGCACTGAACACGATCACTGAGTGCGTGTTTATTGACTAGCTATCCTGATTCTACTTTGCTTGAATATTCTCCGAGGGCTGTTCAGATAAGAAGCATCTGGTTTTACGAGAGCTTTCATCACCCCATAGGCTCTCGATATGAACTGTCTAAATGTCAACAGCTCTATAAAGGAAAATGGTAGCTATGTTTTTCATTGCAACAGTCGAAGAGAAGAAGAACAAGTATAATACATTAATTTCGAAATGGATACGAATAGCTTCTATAATTCGGCACACTCTCGTATCAGTATTTCTTTTTAATTGATATTGAAATGAAAACAAAACCGCTTTCAAGAGAATGATGAATATTTTACAGACGTATAAAACGACGTGTATTTTATGATGGAAATATCTCTATTGTATGTCCTCTGCTCAAACTAAATGACTCGTCATCCTTTAATGAAATAGTGAGTGAGTATGGTTTTACGCCGCTTTTAGCACTATTCCAGCAATATTAGGACGGGGGACACCAGCAATGGGCTTCACATATTGTACCCATGTCGGGAATCGAACCCGGGTGTTCGGCGTGACGAGCGAACGCTGAAACCACTAGGCTACCCGACCGCCCCTTTAACGAATTAATTAAGGATTGACTGTGTATTTTTTTCGGTTCATTGAGGTATGAATCGAAAAACCGATGTGCAAACTGTATGAATCCGCGTAGCTTATAATTAAATTCGACAACGTAAAACATGTTTTATCTACAATAGTTTAACCCAAAACAGTTGCATATATCAAAACAGACAAAAATGACGACATTGATAAACATTCTAGGTGTAGGAATACATACAGTGGCGTGACATGGATCAGGTGATCGTTTAATTTATGAACATAACTTGACACGCCTACACAGTCAGTAGCCAATCAACGGAGAGTGGGATTAAAACAATGTTCATTGGACCTGTCAATTAAGGCAAGAGGCGAAAAGAACTGCAACAGTCAGACTGCAACGAACCGGAAGAAATGGTCATTTACTGCGTGATTCAAACATTACTTCCCTGATGACGGTAAAAAACAGTTGGAGAAATGCTAGTTAGAAATGAAACCCGAAGACATGAAAGTTGAACCGAGGCGAGCGGGAAAAAAACAGGCGAGCGAGCCTGCACGTTTGCTGTTTCATTCATTCTCGGCCTTCGGTTTCAAAGGGTAGTTTGGACAATGAATATGCATGAAAGTCCCTAAATGTCCTGTGCATGACGATACACGTGAGCAGAAAGGGAATTCCCAGTAATAAAAGTAGTGCGCCGCGGTGGGCGTGGCTTAATTTTTTACATTCATTAGGAAACGAATGCAATAACACGTGACCAATTCAGCTAATCAGAATGCAGAAATTTCCATGAACACAACGAAAATTTAATTATAAATATCATAAAACAGTCATATTATTGTTTTGTTTGTATGTCACTGACACCCCCCTCAGCAATCTGTTTCTTGTTCTTTAAGATCGTCATGTAAATCGGGGTTTCAAATGTTAAATTACCTGGTATCAAATTAGGAGATAAACCTTCTGTGTTTTGAAATTTGAGGTAGTCTGACTGTTTCAAACGCATAAACAAGCAATATTCCGTGTATAAATAGGAGGTAATCCGGATTCCAGATTAGAATAAGACCACATCACCCCGCATTATATGACTGACGTGCAAGGTGACTAAATGGAGGCTAAATCTTCCCGAGGCAAGAGAGTTAACTGACTTTAAAAGTCCAGTTTCCACCCTTGCCGAACTAGACTGGAATTACTGGGCTCGATCGTAGCGCCACCAGTGGCTATTACCAGTTATGTCCCGTCTAAGCCTCTCCTATGGACCAATCAGATTCCATCTCTCGTATCACTTGCGTTTGCTTCACATACAATGGTGGCGCCCAGCCAGGACGATCTGATCGATAATCAAGATCTATATTGTGAAAAAACGGGTCTTACATCGCGAAATGCATCCAATCACGTGAACACCTTGATTAAAACATGAAGAGGTTTGGAAAATATCTGCTGACAACGAGTTTGCGGTGCACATGTTTTGCAAATCCTGCAATCTACAGTTTACGTTTTCGGTGCGCGATTTTGATTGGACGATGCAAAGACTCGTTAGTCCAGCCAAAATGTAACGCCATAATACTAGCCTAGTTCGGCAAGGTTGGAAACTGGACTTTTATAGTCAGTTTACTCTCTTGCCTCGGGAAGATTGGATCTGGTAGACCGTGTGGGACGTTGATCGTACCACGAATCACTGGTTTGTCTGGTCCGATTATTTACAGGACGCCCTCTTTAAGCTGGATTATTGAAGAATAAAAGTGACAAAACCCAAACCATATTCATAAGAAATTTCTGCTAAAAGTCGATTGTACGATTCTGACTATGTCATGAGCATGTGTTTATGAATCACTATCAAATAGAGACGATACCAGGTGTTCGCGAAAAGGTGAGCGTATCCTGCCCCACCGGTGACACTCGTCACAAACACACGCAAAGGCATATTGATAAGTTTATTGATATGTGAGGAGTTACAAAAAATAAACAAACTATGTTTTTGTACCATGTACACATGAACGATTTGGGGAATTTGCGTAGAACTCTCTTCTTTTGTTCATTCAAACACCTGAGATTAAAGTGCCGTCAGATCGCAGAATAACACCAACAATATTAGAGTCAGACAATTACATCTGGTAACCAATTTTAACATCAAACTTTAGGGGTTTGGGAAGTCCAGATGAAGACCCGGATGCGATTCCATCCATCGGTACAATGTGTGGACAAACCCCTTTCTCTATTCATAAGAAATCTCGAATTTCCATTGTACGATTAATGAAGAATAAAAGCGACAAACACCAAACCATATTCATAAGAAATCTATGTCAAAAGTCGATTGTACGATTCCAACTATATCATGAGCATGTTTTTATGAATAACTATCAAATAGTGATGATAGTAGCTAGGTATTCGCGAAAAGGTGAGCGTATCCTGCCCCACTGGTGGCTCCCATCACAAACACATGCAAAGGCAAATCAATGGTTCAAATGGAGTCTGGCTATGGCTGGAATACTTCAAAAACGTGTTATACTATCACGCATCTAGTCAATTGCACCGACGTGTTCGATTTGCTGCAAAGATCAAGTCGTTATAGGCCACAAATTACAAATATTCAAATGCATCGTAAACCAGTATGGCGAGACATACAATGAACCTGACGAGGCTGACATGTTCTCTGCTAAATCCACGAAATAATGATTTTCACATGTGAATAAGAGATCTGGTTTGGGGTTTTTAAATATTAATAATGCCATACTGTTGTGAACAGAACTCAGAGCTTTGCAAATACGATTGTGCCGAAAATAGTTAATTGTCTTGACATCCCAGTTTGTCCCGACTTCAAACTCCCATCAACATTTTCTGAGTAACAATTTCTCCCAGGACAATCTCATAATGCATTATTCATGTAAAGCTATTTCAAGTATAAGGACGATTGAGTCAGTTAACATGGGTATACATTCAATTTAACCGCGGTAGTGTGACGTGAAAAATTAATAGCTTAAAAGAAAATTGCTTCCCTGTCAGGAAGCAGTGCCATGACGTAATTAATGACGTCATCATCTGCTGTCATTTCACATTACGTCACAATTAGGAAATAAACTCTTTGGTGTTACCAAATATATTGAGAAAAGTGACATGTGTTTTGAGTGTAACAGCCTGTAAACAAAATATGGCACTGTATATGATCAAGCAGTTTGTTTACAAAGTAATATATCACTCGAATATACAGAGATTGAAAGCATATAAGCACGACAATTTGGTAAGCTGACATGGGGTGGGCACCCCTATAGAAAACAAAGCAAGCTTTGCAAAACGTTCGTTCTACACCGCACGTCACCATTATGACGTCGTATCGCTCATTGTGACGCAAAAGATATGACAGTCACAGTCGTATAATTAAAGCGTCAGATTCCAAGTTGTCTATTGTCCCCAAAACTTGAAATACATTCTCTTTCTAGATTTCTATCGTTTTTCGGCACGAAATGTATTGCCACACATCCTTTGACTATTGATAGTAAGCGCAACTTTGCATTTTGTAAACTGTAATTGTAGACATAATTATTTAAATATGCAAACAGAGAATGCTTGAAAAAAGTACTATTCTATAAATATGAGCTTCCGCGCTGATTCGGCCGTTAAACCAGGTGTTCAAATCAGAGAAAGGGCGATTTAATAGCCTCTATTTGACCAATCAGAATCGAGTAATATATTTCCAAATTCATGGTAGAATAATGAATATTACGTCACCAGCGGCATCACGTCAACAATATTGTAGTGCGTATGAGCTCATGTTTAAACATTTTGCCGACATTCCGCTTAGGAGGCTTGGGAGGCACGGGTGGCCCAGTCGTCTAAGGCGCCGCGATTCGGTGTACAGAGTTGCGTCCCTTGGGCACGACAGAAACTATGATTGTGGGTTCGAATCCCGGTTCGCCCCTATTATGTTGCTTGGTTTGTCAGCACCATACCCGTGCTCGTGGGTTTCACCGAAATGGTAAACGTCTGAGACCTACAATTTACTTCGGGCGTTCCTCCCACATTAAGCTGACACGCCCTGATATAACTGGAATACTGTTAAAAGCGGCGTTAAACCCAACACTCACTCGCTCACTTGACCGGCTTACAAAAACAAAAAAACTTAAGTTTAGCCTATGTGTATTGTATGTAACTTTACGACAAATGATTATAATGTCTTAAATGTATTATTGGTCCTTTCAGAGAGCACGTGAGTGGTTTGTCTGAACCAGGATGGAGTCGAACCTGACAGAATACGAACCGTACAAAAGCGAAACGCTTGTGTCCTTCTACAAATGGTACACGGGCGTCCATGGCTATCTCAGCATCCTTGTCTGTGTGTTCGGGATCCCAATGAACCTCATCAACATCACAGTCCTTTCCCAGAAGCACATGCGAACGCCTATTAACTGTATCCTAACGTGGCTGGCGGTGTCGGATCTACTTACAATGACGTCATACGTCCCCTTTGCTATTCACTTTTACTGTGTGTATCCGCCCTGGGAAGCATCCCCTGAGAAGAACAGCCAGGGATGGATGCAGTTCATTTTGTTCCATATCAACTTCTCGGCCGCCACCCACACAGTTTCAATCTGGCTTGGTGTTACCCTTGCTATTTTTCGATACAAGCATATTTATTCTCCTGCCAAAGGGGCGATAACTCGTATACGACGACTCGTCCGCGCCAGAATTGCCGTTGTAATGATCTATGTATTATCCGCTGTAGGCCTTACCCCGAACTATATGACAAACAAGCTTACACATTCTTTGAATGGAAACAACGAAACAATATACCATTTTGAAAACCTCGGACTAGGAACATCAGACGTTAAGCCAGTTGTTCTGTTGAATTTATGGATGTACAGTCTGTTAGCAAAGTTGCTGCCGTGTATTTTGATGGTAGTCTACGGAGGACTGCTCGTCTGGACTCTCAAATCCAAGCTGCGTCACAAACGCAGACGACTTTCCTGCACTTCCGCCACGATGCAGCGCCCCCTAGACAACTCACGAACGACCCGGATGTTGCTGATTGTGATCGTCCTTTTCCTGATCACGGAGTTTCCACAAGGAATTCTCATCATCATTAGTGTGACGTCTAAAGGATTTTTCAAGAATGTTTACATTCCGCTTGGTGATTTAATGGATATGGTAGCCCTTATAAACAATGGCGTCAACTTTGTGCTGTACTGCGCTATGAGTAGGGACTTCAGGAGAACACTGATGGACTTGTTAAAGATGGCTGTCATGCCCAATGCCAAACAAACGGTAGCTAATGGCATCAACAACACCGACTCGGAGCGTTCAAATACAGCGTTGATTCTGCGCATGACATGACTAAGGCGGACCAGGGATGGGTGACATTGTAAAAATATGGCGCATGCTCAGTGTCGTTTCCGGTATGTGACGTGGGCAAAATGTGAATACAGCTTTACCTGACAATTGGTAATTTTATGTTTATTTAAGCGTCTTGAGCGCCCATCGTGTCAACCTGACGTGGCACTGAGTAATGATGGTATGTGAGATGTGATGATATTCCACTGAGAGTCAGGCTCACCAAAACCATATCAGCTTCTCGTCGTTGCCTTGTGATGCATTCACCTCCCGCACCCTATCCCTGTGTTATAGATATTACACGAGATCTTTGTTCAGAGAAACTCGAAAATCAGGACCATCTTTTCCTGGTAAGATTCGACGGATAAAAGCATGTCCCGTTTGACAACTACCCGAATTGACGAATGTCACGCGTGAAAACGACGGCAGATTTCCTGGAACGGGAGTCAATCGGGGCTTCACAGGACATTGACCCTATGTGACTCTTCTAACTAGTGAAATAAGTCCCTATAATTCAAGACATTAATATTACCCTAACCAATAATCTTTCCAAATACGGTGAAACCTTTTTTACCGGTTAAGCCATGGGAAACGACTAAGCGTATTTCGGGACAACCGGAGCAGCAATATCAGACCATAAGGATCTTGAAATTACGTCTTAAACGAAGTTTGAGTTCGCAATAAGTATTGAAATATTGACAAAAGTTTAAAATTACAAGTATATTCATCACTTAATGTGACATCGCGTCCATTTGTAGAGGAGGGAAAAAACATACCCGGAATCACACGGAAAACAGATTTTTTAACTTCATTTGACTAATATAGTGCTGATTCTCTGTTCGTGCATTGTGCATATAAAATAATTATAGATAAGCAAGTCAGGTTTAACATCTTTTTTTATCAATATTTCAGTAATATCAAGGGGTCATCTAAATGTGGTAGGATTGTACAAATTGAAAGCATGTCGAACAAAGTACACTTTGATGAAACCCCCGAGCAGGGTAAGATGTTGATGATCAAATATAATAATTGGGGCGAACCTCTGAGTTTTACCCAGGAGCCTGGTTGTCTAAGGGACACCACTCTTCACTGCAAGTTGTGGCAACTGAGACCACGCGCCCCAAACTCCCGAACTTACACTGGAAGAATGTTTACAAATATCTTCTTCACAAGCAGAAACAATTGTTGTAAGTTTAACATAAACATTTAATGCGACATATTTCCAAGCATAAACAATTGTAAATTTAATTTACATATTAACTAGCACAAACGATGGTTGTAAATATAATTTAAGTATTTTACATATTTGAAGTATTGGAAATTCCTAAGTTGCACACATTCACGTAAATGTCTATGTGAATTTACATACATTTACGTAACTTTATATCTAAATTTACAGGGGGCGCCGCGATTCGCTGTGCAGAGTTGCGTCCCTTGGGCACGCCAGACACCTATTATTGTGGCTTCGAATCCCGGTTCGCCCCGATTATGTTTCTAGGTTTGTCAGCACCATACCCGTGATCGTGGGTTTCACCGAAGTGGTAAACGTCTAAGACCTGCATCACTTCGGGCTTTCCTCCCACATTAAGCTGACACGCCGCGATATGACTGGAATACTGTTAAAAGCGGCGTTAAACCCAACTGTGATGTGTAAAAGTGATCTGTTCTTCCAGTGGCATAAACATCACAGGTCTATAGATCGTTATGTTTCAAATCGGTAAAGACGTCCATATGTTGTTATTTCTTAACTGTCCCCAAGAATTATTATTACTGTGATAGCAGGACGTCACGTTCCAGAATATTGTGATGATGGTTTTCGATTGTTCATAATTCCTTACCTGTTTATTTGTATAGTAACTGTGTTCCTACCTTTGGTATATATTGACAATGTGACACTGTGACACTGTGACACCACTTGTTGTTGAACCAGACAATTCCAGACGGTGTGGCTTTTCAGTTGTAAAATGGAAGTATTTAGAACAGATTTGTTTGGCGACCCCAAACATGTGTACAGTACCATAGATTTGCCATACTGTCAGGGCAGACTAGCGGGTAGATAGTCTGGACTCCTAGTGATGTTTGATTGTAGGAGTGGATGGGTGAGTGAGTTGGGTTAACGACGCTTTGATTTGTTTCTTTGTTGTTTTATGCCGCACTCGGCAATATTCCAGCTATATGACGGCGGTCTGTAAATATTCGAGTCTGGACCAGACAATCCAGTGATTGTCATCATGAGCATCGACCTACACAATTGGGATACGATGACATGCATCAATCAAGACAGCGAGATTGACCACACGATTCCGTTAGTGGCTTCTTACGACAAGTATGGGTTGCTGAAGACCTATTCTGATCCGGATCTTCACGGGTAAACGCCGGTTTGGATGGTATTTCAGTTGTAACACGATGTGTCAGATTAATGTGTCTGAAGTATGCAGAGCAGAGGTCGGAAGGGCTCACCGCTTTTTTAAACCTACGAGTACGGTTCTGCCAGCAGAAATAATCATAATCACATCTTCATCGCATCCTGGAGCCCCAATCTACATAACTCTGCAATTCATGTCCATGCACACAATTCTAATCAAAATCACTTGGCACATAACTCCGATATGATTGACTTTATTCAAAGCTGACACTGAATGCATTTTTATTGCAATTGTTAGTGTTTTCTTGTTTTGTTTTGTTTCGTTATGAGACCGTTCTCATTTTAAATACATTTATGTATGGTTGCTTTGGGACGCAATAACGGCACATTCTACTCTACTTAAGCATGCAAGTATATTGTCCAAATACTTATCTACGGTCTTGTGGGCATTGGGTGTTTATTCACTGTGACACGGTAACAATGCTGCCGTTAAGCTACATCTAGCTGTGGAGCCTCGAGGCTTTGGGATAACGACTTCTTGAACCTAATAGTAATTCGGTGTACATGAGTGGACAGTGTTGTCGTTAGAGATTAAGTATGTTTGGCTTCAAATCACAACAAAATTATATCTAAATAAGCAGGGTTTCTTTCAGATTTATTCAACCAAACATGGCCTTGCCCTCAAATGTGTTTGTTTCTTGAAATTTGTGGAGTGTTTATAAAAAAAAAGATACATGATTAGCATTATATATTCTTTGAATCAAATTCACGTGTTAAGATGTAGACATTGTAGACTATGTTACCCGTCCCAGCATTTCGTATTTACATATTAAATTTTAACATTTAAAAACATTTGCTCCAAAATATGTTAACGAATTCGCGCGTACGGCAAAACCTCGTTAACTTAAAAGACCTAGGGACTACGAAACTACATCGAGTTATGCACAGTTCGAGAGAAGAGGAGTATACTAGTATATCAATTTCAATGAAGATCACGTTTGGAGTATAAAGATACCTTTTCCGAAACGATACATTGAATTAAAAGATTTCTAGCAAACGAGATTTCGCTGGATGTGTTATTATTATCATTATTATTATTATTATTATTATTATTATTATTATTATTATTATTATTATTATTATTACTATCATTATTATTATTATTATTATTATTATTCCTGGTGGCAACTGGTCAGAAGAGTGTTGGGTGTAAATGGTTTTCCCAAAGTTTTTCTTGTTCATTGTCTTTGTATATCAGCATCGTGACGAAATTTGTTGAACATGTGCTTTTTACATATTGTTACTGTATATAAGTCAAATGGAAAATAAAAATAATTCTAAGAATATTTACGGTGTTTTTATTAACGTATGGAGAGACGTACATCAATGTGTTTGACGTATAACGAAAACAGGACCCTCAGCACGAGACTGTCAAACGAGTGAGAAGCTATAGGTTGGTTGGTTGGTTTGTTGTTTTACGCCGCACTCGGCAATATTCCAGCTATATGACGGCGGTCTGTAAATAATCGAGTCTGGACCAGACAATCCAGTGATTAATATAATGAGCATCGATCAACGCAATTGCGATGCCTTTTACGACAAGCATAGTCGCCTTTTACGGCAAGCATGGGTTGCTGAAGACCTATTCTACCCCGGAATCTTCACGGGTCGAGTGAGTCGGGTTCTTTTCCAAATTCAGCATAGCGGTTAGTAAACGTTTACCAATGTGGTGACCAGCACGGATAAGATGCTGTGAGACCAAGGATCATAACTGGAATGACAGTATTTGTTACGGCCTTAGTCGCAAGCATGGGATGCTGAGAATACAAGAATCCCCAAATGTTCCCAACCCTCATCGGTGAAGAGTGATTTTTGCTGAAGAATCGCTGGAGTTATCAGTGTCCTAGGTTTGACATGCCTTTGCATGTGTTTGCGACGGGGCAGGATGAGCTCACATTTTCGCGAACATCTGGTATCATAACTACTTAATAGCGATTCATAAGCACATGCTTATAATATCGTCGGAATCATACAATGGACTGGATATTTTATAATGGAAAGGGTAACTTTGGTTGCTTAAATGTGTATGTCAAGCGTCCTCTGTCCTCCGTGGTCTAATGGTAGAGCGTCCGCCCGGAGAGCGGAAGGTCCGGAGTTCGATCCCCAGCTGCGTCATACCAAAAGACGTTAAAAGATTGTACTTGTTGTTACCCTGTCTGGCGCTCGGCATTAAGGGGCTAAAACAAGGACTGGTCGGCTCGGAGTCAGTATACTGTGTCTGAGTGGGGTATTCATGTTAAACTGCGGCATGGTATCTCGGTGAGCTAGCACTATAAATCGGCATCAGTCCGGACTAGTACAAGCAGCCACACACACACACATACACGTGCATGCACGTCGCTATAAAAGTGCAATAATCTTGGACGCGACGTTAAACCCCATTTCACCTCACCATAACTTCCCAGTGACAGTGTCAGTGTGGATTAAGAAATAGTTCACCTGAAAATACACAGGAGGATATGGTACAAGTCAAAATCAGATGTCGTTTTGTCAAATGTGGAAAAGTCCTGCACATGTTTGTTTGTTTGTTTGTTGTTTTACGCCGCAATCAACATTGTTACAGCTATATGACGGCGGTCTATTGATAATCGAGTCTGGACCAGACAGTCCAATGATTGACATCATAAGCATCGATCCATGCAATTGGGATACGATGACATGCATCAACCAAGTCGGCGAGCCTGATCACCCGATCCCGTCAGTTGCCTCTCACGACAAGCATAGTCGCCTTTTATGGCAAGCATGGGTTGCTGAAGGCCTATTCTACCCCGGCTCTTCACGGGCTCCTGAACATGTCTACCAAAAGACGTTTTGAAAGTTTCACTGAGGAATGTTGTAAACATATTTAATCAAATTTAATTCAACTCTTTTTAGCAAAAGTCGTATGATAAAATGTATAAACTAAAATTGTTGTAAGCATGTTGTGAATACTCCGGTCTAAATGCTAATACTGCTATGAGTGAGTGAGTGAGTTGGGTTTTACGCCGCTTTTAACAATATTCCAGTTATATCGCGGCGTGTCAGCTTAATGTGGGAGGAGAGCCCGAAGTAATGCAGGTCGCAGACGTTTACCACTTCGGTGAAACCCACGAGCACGGGTATGGTGCTGACAAACCTAGAAACATAATCGGGGCGAACCGGGATTCGAACCCACAATCATAGGTTTCTGGCGTGCCCAAGGGACGCAACTCTGCACAGCGAATCGCGGCGCCTTAGACGACTGGGCCACCCGTGCCCCCAATATTGCTAAGAAGAACCGGACAAATCAATATACTGTTATTCTCTGTGCTTTTTTTATGGTTGGTTGGTTGGTTTGTTGTTTAACCCCGCACTCAGCAATATTCCAGTTATATGACGGTGGTCTGTAAATAATCGAGTCTGGACCAGACAATCCAGTGATTAATAACATGAGCATCGATCCACGCAAATGGTATACAATGACATGCATCAACCAAGTCAGCGACCCTGACCACCCGATCCCGTTAGTCGCCTTTTACGACAAGTATAGTCACCTTTTACGGCAAGCATGGGTTGCTGAAGACCTATTCTATCCCGGAATCTTCACGGGTCCTTTTTTATGGCAGAAACGAGGCAGAGCAAGACTCTTTGCTAAGTTTTGATCTTTAATGACAGTGCGTGGGCGAGTGAGCATCGTGCACCATGTTGACAAGCGACGTGTCATACTTAAAGTTAGTAAATTGACAGCCTCCGTGGTCTCGTGAAAGAGCGTCCGCCCGGAGAGCGGAAGGCCATGGGTTCGATCCCCGGCCGCGTGATACCAAAATACGTTAAAAAATGGTACTTGTTGTTACCCTGCTTGGCACTCGGAATAAAGGGCTAAAACAAGGACTGTCGGCTCGGAGTCAGTATACTGTGTCTGAGAGGGTATTCATGTTAAACTGCGGCATGGTATTTCAGTGGACTAGCATTATAAAATCGGCATTAGTCCGGACTACTACAACCAGCAACACACACACGCGCACGTACGCACGCACGCACGCACACATACACACGTCGCTATAAAAGTGCAATAATCTTGGACGCGACGTTAAACCCCATTTCACCTCACCACAACCACTAAGTAAATTC